CTGACAGAGCCCCCAGAAGTGCGTAAAATGATACTTGCTCACCAGGGGTTCCCATTGTTTTCTGCTCAACCAGAAACATTCCCAGAGTCACGGTACACAGTGAGAAATAAGCATGGTGCAATGAAACACAGACAATACTGCGAGGTCCTCTGTGAGGAACAAGAGGTGGAGACAATCCCAGGGGAGTCCACAGTTTCGGGGGGAGCTCAAAGTAGGTCTGAGTGGTGATGGGGGAGCTGGGTCTGAGAGGTGCCATATGGACAGATGGAGAGAAGGGTGGAAGGCATTTCAAGTAGGGAAAAGGAAGGAAGGGGAGTCCAGAGGCAGTGGGAGAAAGGCTGGTTAGGCAGTCAGGGAAGAACCCAGTGTGGCGGAGGAGGAGGAGGTAGGGCTGAGAAGTGCCTGAGGGTGGATGTGGAGTTGGGAGTCTTGACCTTTCCCACCCAGGCCTTGATGTATCCCAGTTGAGAAGACGCAGGGTCAACAAGCAGGCTAGGGCGGCAGCATGGACACAAAACCAGACACCAGAGACCAAGGAGCGGATCCCTGCAACAGCAGGACCAGGAGGGACAATGAAATTTGAGAAAAATTTCAAAATAATTGATGACAAAGAGAAAGCAGTCTAAACTCCAATATTCAATTTTTGCACACCCATCTTTAATGATCTCCTTACAGTTAGAAAACAATCTATTTTCCCCATAACCGGTAGTCGTTTCATTAGCATCTAAATTATAATTCCTTAATTATAAGACTATCACCTACTGTCCTTTCCAAAAATTAATCCAGAAACTGTCAAACACAAACTTACATTTAATAAAATGAACATCTGTGATCACACACCAGGAGCAAAATCCTAATCGTTCTAAACCTGGCACTTTGCTTTGACAACCAAATACCTATTTTTTTTTAATACTTTATTTCTTTTAAACACCTGCTTTCTTTACATACTGACTTTTAAAGGAAGAGATCAAATTTTATTGGCAGGAACAGAAGTTATTCTCTAAAATAGCAAAGGAAGAACTATGCTCTATAGAAAAGTTACTTGCTACATTAAATAATAAACCAGAATATGAATCAAAATCCACAAATCCAACAGGGGCCAATCCCCAATTTTCCCACAAAGAGCCGACAGTCTGATAACCTCACCTCTTTGGAATTAGGCTGTTGGTGGCGGCTGCAGCCCTTGTTCTGATGGTAGCCACACCACCCCAGCCCAGGATAGCTGTATTTCCATTAGAATTGGCTGTCCTGCCCTCTCTGCCTTCGCCACCCCCCTTCGCCCAAGTCCAGTTATTCAGTGAGTTATAATTTGGCACTAAAACTCAATTAAGCTGAAACGTTGGTCATACGTGATCTTTTTCCCAGCAAAGCATAATTTCTTTGACCCATTTTCCAAATGTTAGTCGATCGATTTTAAAGCACAGAGAGGTAAAAGTTTGTTTAAAAATCGAGCTCGCATTTCTAGAAACTGACTGGAAATTTTCTTTTTTTTTTTAAATTTCAAATAAACAGTCAGGACGTGGTGTTACTGTATTAAAGCGCTTCAAGTTTTCATAGCGCTGGTCAAACAGAGACCTCGGAACGCTCTGCAGACATTAATTAATGTTCGCTCCGGCCCTGGAAGCCATTTCACCAATGGAAATTCCGATGAGAAAGGAAGAAACGAGGGGTTCAAGGCCGCGGCGTTGTGAGTCCGCTGCGGAACTAGGAACTGAAACCCCGTGGTTCCCAATGAGCCAGCGAAAGTCTGTCGAAGTATTGAGCACCCCTATTGAAGACTGTGGGAGTTTTGGCGGCTTAATGGGATTGTGTTCGGTCCTTCAGGCTCTCCTTTAAAAGATTCCATGGCACCAACGAGACTCCAATAAAAGAGCCTCTCTAATTGCTTTCTGACTTTCTATGAAACTTTCTAAGCTATGCTGACATCCTCGAATACAACTATGGAATTAAAGAGGAGAGAAAGGCGAGGCACAGTGGGTGCGCAGAGAAAAAGAGGTTCTCAGCGGAGCGTGTGTGAGGCGGGGGGTTACGGGGGAGGGGAGACCGGGCGGGTGTGAAGTCTGTGCCGGGAAAAGAAAAATATGAGTGTTCTCTTTTGTGTGCGCACAAACAGCCGAGCGCGGGGAGGTCGGGCCCGGGGTCACGCGGCTCCGGGCTGCAGCTGCCGCCGTGGGGCGGGGGGTCCCGGGCGGCCACCGGGCGTCGCGGCCGCCTGCGGCATCAGCATTCCGGCGGCGCGGTCGGCCGCTGTCCTCGCGCGACCCCAGCCCGTCCAGAGCGCGCCCCGGCACCAACCCTCGGGGCGAGGCGAGCGCAGCCCCCGCGGGCCAGCAAGGTAAGCGTGGCGCGGGGAGCTGTGACCGGGAGCCTGGGCGCCAGGCGACCCCTCGACAGGGCGCACGGGCCGGTTCTCCGCCGCGCGGACCGACGACCGACGGGGAGGCCCGAGTCCGGCCCCGATGCCCTGGCCCGGTGTCCCCGACGGGCCCAGAGCCCGGGAGGGAAGCACGGGCCTGGCCCGGGCACAGGTTGGGCCTCACCCCGGGCTCAGGAGGATGGAGCCCAGCTCAGGGCCGTCTCTTCCCGCTCGGGGGAGCTCAGGAGGGCCCAGGGTACCTGCGCGGGCACCTTGGCGGCGGGTCACCCTCCCTCTGAGCCACTCCGTCCGTGGGCAGCGGCCTTACCAGGTCCGAGCCGGAGGCTAGGCGTTGCCCTCCGCGAGCCCCCAGCCGCCCCTCGAGCGCTCGGGAGCCCCAGGTGCACACGCGCATGTCCGGGCCAGGCCTCCAGGCCTCTGTCCGGCGGGCGGGCTGGGAGGTGGCCCCGCGATGCCCGCCGAGGGGTGGAGAGGGCGAAGCCAGGGCGGCGTCGGCAAGGCCATCAAAGGCCGGGGGTGGCGGCCCACCGCATTGCCTATGACCAGGCCGAGGGCATGAAAGGATCTTTATCCTCCAGTGACACTGCCAGGCCGGCGCTTTTCTCCGGCCTCCCCCTCCCGCGGCCCTAATTGGGGCCGGCTACTAATGTGATTAAAGGCCAGTTAAACGTTTCTCCGAGCAGGGAGTGGGAAGAGGCCGAGACCCCTGCCCCCTCCCCGGGGTCACGCCAGGCCTGTGGTCGGGGGTCGGCGACGGTGCCAGCCCCGGACGGCCTGGCCAGGTGCCCGCCGATTGTTCACCCCCAGGCGGGCGGGCCGGCGGGCTCCCGGGGCTTTATGTAAGCCGGTGGGCTTTGGGCCCGGCCGGATTTGGGGATTCTTTTCGCACAGTTTCCATTTTCTGGCCTTTGGAACTGCGCCCTGGGCCCTCGGGGCCCTCCCCCTCCGGTGCCCGGCGCTGGCGGGGCCCAGCCACGGGGGCAAGCCGGGGGTGCCAGGCGTTGGGGGTCTGGAGGGCCCGAAGCAGGTCGCGTTTGGGGTCTCACTTCCACAGACAGTGACTCAGGACTGTTGGACCCCGGTGCTGTGTTGCGGCTACGCAGAGCCTGCGACCCACGGCGCCCCCCCGCGACCTCAGCGACTGCCCGGTTCCCACGTCTGCGACGGCGTGGGTGGTCCAGCCCGCCCGGGAGGGCTCCGAGTCTTGGCCGCCCGGGGCGCGGGGCCTGAGAGCGAGTGTCTGCGCTGCGCTGCCCGCCGCGCCAGCTTCCGAGGTCGCTCGCGGGCTCGTGCCCTGCGCCCTAGGGCCCCGGGTACCTTCTCCAAGCCGGCCTGACCTGGTGGAGGCTGTCCGCTCCGCTCGGCGAAGGCCGGGCCGGGTGCAGGGGGCAGCGGGTCCCAGCTCTGAAGGGCCAGCGCCGGCGCCCGACTCCCCGCCTGCGACGGTGCTCTCACCCGGGAGGGCCTGAGCCCCTGGAATGAACTCCGCGGGTGCCCGCCGTCTGAAGCAGCCCCCAAGGGCGCCGGGCTGCTGCGATGCAGTGGCTGTAATTGCTTCGGGGTCTCTGGGGGATCGATAGCGTGGCCCAGCCGGGTGTCTGCGCCTCTGAGGTTGCAAATCTGGAACCAGTTAGGATGGGGGAGGCAGATAATAAAAAGCCAAACGGGCGCCAGGTGGAGGAGTGAGCTCTGCACGTTCCATCAGGTGGCCCGGGCCGCGCGCTCGGGCGGCGGCAGCGTCTCCGGGGCACGCGGGGCCGGCGGTGGCAGGTGGGACCCGCGGCCCGACCCGCGCTAGGGCCGCCCACGCCCTCGGGCCCCGGCCGGGTCTCTCCACAGCCTCCGTGCGCGTCCCAGAAGGAAAATGCTAGCAAACCGGAAGGCCGCGCGGGGCCGAGCCGGCCTCAGCCGGGCCAGGAGAGGCCGTCGGCGCCCCGAGGAGGAAAGGGACCCGGCCCGGGACGGCCGCCCCGCGGTGCCCAGGAAGGACGCTCGCCGCTCCCAGCACCCCAGCGTCTGAAAAATGAATGTGAACTCCGCAAGCATGCTCCCGCGGACATTTTACATGTCGGTTGTTCACATTTTTCAAATATTCTCAGAAATAGTCTGCAGAACTTTTTCACATCTAACAAATGTCAGATTGAGCAGATCAGAAGATAAGAAATGAACATGACATTTTAATTCAAGTAGAGGGAAAGCAGACGGTATTTTTAAAATAATATTTTTGTAAAAACGTATTGTGGATCTAAGATTTTGTCATGTTCAAAATGTATAATTTTTTGATATTTAAAATACACATTTTGTACATTTTCAACCAAAAAGACAGGGAAAAATTTAAAAAGCAAAAGCTGGGAACCAAGAAAAGCCTGGAGAGAAAATGGGCGGTAAGGAACCATAGCCGGTCCTTCACACCGTTTTTTTTTTTTTTCCCCTTCCTCATAGCCAGAAAGAAAATGAAAAAGAAAGAAAGAAAGAAAAAAAAAAACAGTGAAAATAAAATAATTTCATATTAAACTAACACAGAGAACTAATTAATTTCTTTCCAGATGGGTTGAAGGGACCTGGCTGTTTCAGTGTGCTCAGAAAATGCTGGACTTGGGTTGGTTTTCTTTCCTTCTGCTGCTCAGAGAATCTTATGAAAAAGTAAACAACCCCAGCCTAACCATTTTTTTATCGACTTATGAACACAGATAAAATTAGAATCCTTTTTTATTTGAGATAAAATACACACAGGAAAAGACTAATTTTTTTAAGGGAGTATCTGGGGTTTTTTTAAATATATGAAACTGTAACATTTAACTAACATGTAATGAGCTGAACGACCTTGGGTTTCTTTCACTCCAGCTCCTCCTGAAATCTTCCATTTTTTTCTGAGATGGCTTTTCCAGTGATCTTGTGTCAGTAAGAGAGGAGTATACAGTGCAGCAAATATTTTGTGCGTTCATAGTCAATACATTTCTCAGTCAAAAAATGAAAAACAGGTCAATGACTGCTTTTTAGGAATAACCTTTGAACCGAACAGGAAATGGGGAAAATACCTGTTTGTGGACGCTTGCACATCCAGGAGGAGAAGAGCTGCAGTTAGTTTCACTGTGTGAAGAGGAGATGCCGCTCTGTCCAGAGGGTTTATTGGAATGCCAGGCCCCGGGTGTTTGGGTACGTCTATGCAGACACTTCGTGCTGACCCCTGAGGATTTCGATGTGTATAATCATGCTGTAAGAGGAAGGCAGGTGGGTCAATTGTGCAGTGGGAGCACAGGAGACGCTGGGGCATGCCAGAGCCTGGGCAGTTCCCATCCTGATACCCTCTGTGTCCATGTTGTAGTCCCATCTTGATGACATGAAAGGTGCATTTTATGCTTTCTCTCCTTTAAAATCTCCCCAGTGGCCTACTCAGCAGCATTGTTGGGGGCCCACCAGTCATTTTTCATAAAAACAAAACAAAAGACCACAGTGTGGACCAAAACTTGGGATCTGAGATGTCCCTGAGCTCACCTGTCACATCGAGTCACCACCTGGAGAAGATAGATTTGCTGACCTCTTACAGAGCCCGGCAATAGGACGTTCAACCTCAGTCCTGATTACGGGTGGGCGTTGGGTTTGTGTGTGTGTGTGGGGGGGGGGTTGTTGCTGTTTCTGTTCTGTTGTTTTTCTGGGAAAACAAAGGTCCCTTTGGGGGTACCTGGGCTGGCCAGTACGGCAAACAGGAAAGCCAGCCAGGTCAGGAGGAGACATGGCTTCACATTGGAATGCCAGTTTGCTTTGTGCTTGTTTATTACAACTGAAGGTTTTGTGTTGTCTAGTGTTGCCCAGAGTAAAAGCCCATTCCCAGGAAGGATGAATTTGTGACACGAGACAAACACTAGAAACAAATGCCCAGGGGAGAAGGAGAAGCAGATCACCTGGGGCAGGTAAGAAGGCCACACCTGGAAATGCACCTGCTGCGGTTCTCACCCACACCAGAATCTCTGGTCGGAGCAGCTCTCTTTGAAGAATGCCAGACAAACAGAAATACCCCCTCCAGAGATACCTGATTGAAACACAAACCTGATCACTGAAAGCCTTCCTGCATCCACCTGCTGCATGCAGGAGGCAGATCGGACTCCTTCCCCAGTGGCCTCCCAGCCCTACCTCTAGAATTTCCTGGCCCGTGCCCTCCTGCCACCCTGATATCCCTTACTCCCCAAGACACTCGCCCCTGTCGCCAACACTGGCCCAGCAGTGGGAGAGGCTCCCTCTCTGCCCATTGCCCATGAACACACTGCGTTCAGGGCTTGTCAGAGCAGGCCAGCCTGGTGGAGCTGCTTTGGGGCCTGGCTCTGGAGGCCTCAGGAGTACCCCAGCTTGCAGATGAGGAACCCTATGCAATGTATAAGGAAAGGAAAGCTTGGCCCGTGTGAGCCCAGCATTAGGGCCTTGGAACTCCCTGTTTAGCACCCCCCATGCTGCAGCCAAACATTGACACCCCAAGTTCTAGGACCCCATGAGATGGTGCCTTGCCTAGCCAGCTGCGTTGATGTGTGGGAAGGGACATGTTGCGGAAATCCTCCAGCAGGTCCTGGCTCCTGTCCTGTGCCCAGCACTGGCGTTCTTGTTCAGAGAACAAAGGCCCGGAGGCCCCTGCAGAACCAAGAAAGGCTGAAAGCAGTGGCTTTCAAAGCTTGCTGACCGTGGCTGGGGTAAGAAATACATTGTGCATCTCAGCCCACAGCAAGCGGGACAACTATGTATAAAATAAGTAATTAACTATACCTAGATAACCGAAACACAATTTTTGCGAAAGAACGGTTATCTTACTAGACATCATGAATGCTGATATCTGTTCATCCTATTTCTTTTTTCCAAATAATGGCTGCCACCCCCGAAACGATCCCATGATCCTAAAGGGCTGCCTGCAGCGTGGAGTTTGCAGACCACCCTGTAGAGCTGAGCTTGTGTGGGGTAAGCCCGGGTGGAGGGAGACCCGCAGTTCCTTCCTGCTGCATCTCCTGCCCCCACTTCCAGCCCTGGAGTCAGAACCTCCTGCTGGAATTCTGGCCACCACTTCCTACTGTGACATTGAGAGGCCACCTCCCCTCCTGAGCCGGAGCCTCTGCTTCTTCCTCTTAGAACGAGGAGGACAACTCCCTGCTAGGGTCTTACAGAGGATTCAGTGAGATCATGTACCAGATCAGGTCTTGACTCAATGTGTCTGCCCAGGCTAGCACCTGACAATCACCTGTCACTTTTGCTCCTGTGCCTCCCTGGGGCCCAGGATGTCTGCTCCCCCCCCCCCCCCCAATAGCCCTCCAGTAAAATCCTCCTCCCCCTTCCAATTCCACTCCAGTCTTCTCCTTGGGCCAGCTCCTCCTCAATTCCCACTGCAGATTTTGGGACTCACAGATCCGTGCAGTACGGATTAAGACCGGCCGCCCTGGTGGACGCTCAGGCCTGGGCTCTGCCTGGCTCGCCGGCGTTTATAGACACGTGCCTGATTGCCAGTCAGCCCCGATCCAACCTCAACAGCACTGTGGACATGGAGGCTGTGCTTCTCCCCATTTGCAGATAAAGTATATGGGGCCCAGGAGGTATCATCATGTGACCACGAGTCGCACAGTTAGTGGCACAGCACGGGCAGACTGGCTCTCCTGGCCTTCAAAGACCATCATGCTCATGGCCCAGAGTCTTTCCTCCTGGCAGGGCACTAGGGCCCTTTCCGACAGCCTCGCAGCAACCAGATTTGTTCCCTGGCCGCCCACCTCCACCTCCACCTCCTCCACCCCGGGAGAGCTGAGTTCATTTTCCTTTGACTGTTTTTTTAATGCTTCCCTCGCGGGGCAGGCCCCAGTCTTCCTGCACCACCCTCGCGAGCTCTCACTGCTGGAGCGATTATTACTCCCAGATTTACCCAAGTAGAGGGTGTACTTGGAATGGCTGCCCCTGTGCTCCCTGTGCACGCGCACACCCCCACGTACACTGTGGTGACCTGACACACACACTTCCCTGATCTCACACACTCATGCACACACACACTGTCCTGATCTCACACAAACACACACTGCCCTGATGTCACACACACACACATATACATACACACACTACCCTGCTCTCACACAGTCATGCGCGCACACACACACACACACACAGCCCTGATCTCACACAAACATACAAACACTGCCCTGATGTCACACACACACATACACGCACTACCCTGATCTCACACACTCATGCACACACACACTGCCCTGATCTCTCACACACACACTGCCCTGATGTCACACACACACACATATACATACACACACTACCCTGCTCTCACACAGTCATGCGCACACACACACACACACACACACAGCCCTGATCTCACACAAACACACAAACACTGCCCTAATCTCACACAAACACTGCCCTGTCACACAAACACACAAACACTGCCCTGATGTCACACACACACATACAAACACTACCCTGATCTCACACACTCATGCACACACACACCGCCCTGATCTCTCACACACACACTGCCCTGATGTCACACACACAGACACATACACACTGCCCTGATGTCACACACACACAGACACACACACACTGCCCTGATGTCTCACACACACACACACACACTACCCTGATCTCACACACTCATGCACACATACGCACACTTCCCTGACCCTATCACTCTGCACATTGGAGCTAAGCTCATGAAAGCTGTTCATGCATTTTATTTGGCAAGTCTTTCTCACACCTTTAATCACACTAGCCTGCGCGCCGCCAGTCAATAAAGATTAGGAAATCGATTGCTAACTTACCCTTGGGTTAGATAATAAAATTTTTTGAAACATGCACCTGGTAGAATTTATCTGTGAAGGGCCCGTTCAGAGTTTGCTTCAAGCCTTGCAAGTCTTTCATGGCTCTGAGGTCAGGGAGGCTGTGAGGGATCCTCAGCCCAGCAGACATGGAAGGAGCCGACGTCCTTACAGGAGATGGACAGACGGTCAGCATGTGAACAGTCCCCTGCATGCAGGTGAGGACTGGGGTAGTGCAGGGCCGCAGCAGGGATGGGCTATGCCTGGGAGCCGCCAGCTCTGGATCAGGTGGCCGGGGACCGTCATGCTGAAGAGGAGGGCCCCAGTGAAGCTCTGGAGGAATGTTCTGGTGCCTGTATGTACAAAGCCCCCCCCCAGTTCAGGAACTGGCCCTGTACAGGTGAGGAGCAGGAACGAACCAGTGTAACTGAGGCCAGTGTGGCTGCAGCAAGGGGCTGGAGGCATGAGAACTAGTAGAAAGGAATGGGGGGCTATTTCTGCCTCCCCATTCTGGATCATCCTCATCCTCCACCCCAGAGCCCCAGGGTGCCGAGCTCTGAGTCCCTGCCCCTCAAGGCTACGGAATGTCATTGCCACTCAGGGTGAAGGTTCTGGAGGGGACCTGAAACGCCAGGCCCCTCTGCCCAGAGAGCCCCAGTGGACCCGCTGAGCCACGGACCTGCTCCTTGGAGCCAATCCCCTTGTGACTTGTGAATTGTGCTGAGTCCCGTTCCCTTTTTCCTTTTTATTTGTTGCTTTGTGTATCTGGCAGCTTTATCACAAAGCTGCTCTCACGTGGTGCCTCTGTCCCAGCCTGCCATTTTCCTCCCTCTGGGGCCCCTTGCATGGGAGGCTGGGAGCAGCGCCCGCCCCCCACCCAGCGGAGGCTTGGGGCCTGGAGTTAAAACAGAAGCACAGGCAGGGGATGCTCTCCAAACGTTCTTCAGCCCACATCTTTGAACTCTGCAGTAGGAAGGCTCCTGGGCCCCCATGGCCCTATGCACACGCATCTGCATGCATGTGACACACTTGTTGGCCCATGGAGAAGGCTGTCTGCACAGGGGTGCGAGCTGCCCAGCACCCACTGATCAATTGCCACATTCCAAGCTGCCTTTAAGCTGGCGTGGGACGCCCTCTGAGGTTCGCCCAGCCCCTGGGGCCTAGACTCTGGTGTTCTCCAGGAACTGTCTACCTCTGTGTGTGGGAGCCACACTGGCTTCCAGATCCCCACAATGGATGGCTCAGGCCTGTGGCTCACCTCAGCATCTGTGACCACCACCAGTACCCACCTGCTTTGCCTAAGCATTACTTCTGCTGGGCAGTTCTTCACTTGTGTGAGCAAGCCAGCCTTCTAGAAAACTCTTTGTTCTCCTCTCATGGCCAGGCAGGTCTTGCGCAGTCCAGATGGTGAAGCCCAGTTCCTACCTTCCAGTGAGGAGCACCTGACTTTGCAGGGGAGACAGACGGAGCCCTACACAGATGGGACAGGGCAGGTTGGGTGCATGGAGGAGGGCAGGTGCCCTCTGAGACGCAGGGTCTGGGCAGGTTGGGCTGGAGCCTGGCATCTGTGACTGACTGGCCTCTCTTGGCCTGTTTTGCTCACAGTCTTGCTTCCTCCTTGCTCTCTGTTTTCCCTGCCACCTGGACTTGGGTGCATGCTGCTTTCTGTCCATTACCCTCAACCTCTCACCTCCGTCATGACCCTGTAGCCAGCGCCTCCCCGATGTGTCTTACTCTGAGGTTTCCCACGAGAATGAGCCTCCTCCGGTGTCATTGCAGCTGCTTTGATCTCCTTCGTGGTTTTGCTTGAGTGTGGATTCATATTCAGACTCTTTTAGGGACACAAAGACCCCCAAAGTGGATGAATGCGCTACAGAGGCAGATGCCAGGGCCTGAGGCCTGGCCGGCCTGTCCTCCCTGCCCAGGGTTTGCTGAACACCCCAGCCACGTGCTCCAGGTGCACACCGAAGCTCCAGCTCAAGATTCACCTCAGAGGAGGGCATCTGGCCCAAGCCACTTCCTCTATGAGGCGACCAGGGTGGCCAGGACTTACTTGCCATGAGACCTCGCAAGTTGACAAGTGCTGAGAGCGGTGGGAAGCGACAGTCTTCTCTACCAGCATTGGTGAGCACTTAATCCAAGTCCCGAGGCTCCAGCTGCAAACTGGGATGGGAATCTGATGACACCCACCCTAGAGGGATGGGGCTAAATGTAGATGACATCATTTCCATACGTCTGCACTGGGCATTCACATACATGAGTGTCCTCAGAAGCACTACCTCCTCATGCTTCTCCAAGGAATCTGCCCTTTCCTTAACCCTGGTTGAGTCCTACCAAGGAAGGAAGGGTTTCAGGCCACACCCCAGATATAGCGCTGGATGCCCCAGCCAGGCCAAGGCGGTCAGATTTCCTTGCAAGAGTTTGAGCAAAGATACAGAGATTGAATTAGACTGAGCTGGGACTGGAGGCTTGAGGTCCTGTCGATGAGGAGTGATAGCTCAGTGTATGAAGCTGTGGGTTTTCTGTGTGCCCTTGCAGCCCTGGGGACTCTCAAGGCTCTTGGTGAACCAACACTGAAGGAGAAGAATGAAGAGGTGGCAGAGGATCTAGGTTCAGGCCACAGAAAAGTCTTGCTACTGCAGAGGTGAGATGAGGCCAGGGCAGGAAGGGAGCAGGGTTGGGGTGCAGGACTCTGAATACCCTAGAGGCCAGGGTGGGACATCAGCAACACCAGGGGGAGTCACCAAAGCTGAGTGCCAAGATGTGGTCAACTGAGGACGCGTTTCTGGTGCCCACTCCTTCAGCCCAGAGACCGTGTGTGGCCCATCTCCTGACCCAGCGCAACCATCCTGAATACCTGAATGAGTTTACTTGAGCTCCTGCAGCAGAGGCCCACAAAATGAGTGGCTTACAACAGCAGAAATGTACTGCCGTGATGATCTGGAGGCCAGAAGTCTGAAGTTGTCAGACACGGTCGTGCTCCCTCTGTAGGCTCCTGGGGGCGTCCTTCCTCACCTCCTCAGCTCCCAGTGGCCCTGGACATCCGATGGCTTGTGGCTGCATCATCTGCTCTCTGCTTTTGTCTTTCCATGGCCGCCCTCCCTCTGCATCTGTCTCTGTGTCTGCTCCTCTTTTTATAAGATCGCCAGTCCCTGGGCCCGCCTTAATGCAGCGTGACTTCACCTTAACTAATTACATCTGCAAAGACCCTGTCTCCAAATAAGGTCATATTTTGAGCTTCTGAGTGAAGTGGATTTGGGGGACACACATCAACTCGGCACAATGCCCCTCCTCCCCATGCTCTTTAAAGACAGAAGGACCTTGGACATCATGAGTGGACACGATGACATGAAGACAAAGGTTTCTGACGAGCTAGGCCAGGGGTGGACACACTGTCCCTGGAGTGACAAGTCGGGGCAGTGCTGGTACAGGGGCACGCCGACATCCAGGGCAGTGCTGGTACAGGGGCACGCCGACATCCAGGGCAGTGCTGGTACAGGGGCACGCCGACATCCAGGGCAGTGCTGGTACAGGGGCACGCCGACATCCAGGGCAGTGCTGGTATAGGGGCACGCTGACATCCAGGGCAGTGCTGGTACAGGGGCACGCCGACATCCAGAGGAACCAAAGGCCTGTGGGAAAAGTCTGTGGGGACGATGGAGAGAAGAAGGATGGAGTCCTGGATGTAACGGGAACCTGCAGCCTGTGTGCCTGTCCCTGTGATGCTGTGATGGTGTCTGACTTTCTGTAGGCCAAAGCTCCCTTTTTTTTTTTTTTTTTTTTGAGACAGAGTTTTGCTCTTATTGCCCAGGCTGGAGTGCAATGGTGTAATCTCAGCTCACTGCAACCTCTGCCTCCTGGGTACAAGCAATCCTCCTGTCTCAGCCTCCCAAGTAGCTCAGATAACAGGCATGCGCCACCACTCCTGGCTAATTTTTTTGTTTTTAGTAGAGACGGGGTTTCCCCATGTTGGTCAGGCTGGTCGAGAACTTTTGACCTCAGGTGATCCACCCGCCTTGGTCTCCCAAAGTGCTAGGATTACAGGCGTGTGCCAACACACTGGGCCCCAAAGCCCTCCTTTTACTGGAGCTCTTTTGCACAGGATCCATAGGCTTCTGCGGTGGTGTTGGCCATCCTGGCGTCCCTGGCTTTCCTTCCCTGCTGTGGTCTACATAGTTTGGGTGGAGTTGAACCCATAGAGTTGCCGGCTGCACATGGGACCAGGGCCCTCCCTTTGGACACTGCGATCGGCTTGGGAGTTTACTCACAGCTGAATTTGAGCAAAATGAGGAGTGGAGATTGATAAAACTGGTAGAATGAACCACAGAGCTGACAGCCACCTGGCCACTTTGAGGAGAAGGCCTGCTGGAGAGCGAAGACCTGGAGGACGCTGAACTCAGACGGACAGACAGACTTGGTGACATCCTTGGAGGCACCGGGTCCAGCTAAACCTTGAACTCTGTGATCACAGGAACCAGTAAATTCACCTGTAAGCCCAAGTTGAGTTTCTATCACTCACCCCCCAAAAAAGTGCTGATGGGAGGGTGTCCGGGTAACAGCTGCGTGCCAGTTGACCACACCCATGCTGCTACCAGCCCCGGATCTGGGGCACAGTCTGGCCACCTGAGGGTGTCAAGCTTGTGGCCCATGAGGGTCGTAGCCATGCTTCAGGGCAGAGGATAGGAACTGGGTCCCCTGTGAGACCAAGAGGAGACAACAGGTGGAAAGGATGGCCTGCACTGAAGCCGGGGCCACCAGGCTTGTCCCCCCCTCACTCTGTGGACAGACTGGGCTGCACCATTTCTGAGGGAATCTCCATGACTCAGTCCTGGGCATTGCGGCTGGGGCCAGTATCTAAAAAGGCAGCAGATGCAGTCGGCCTGCTAGCCCCTGCTAGCTCTTGTTTCAGGTCAGAGGGAGAAAGGACTAGTGGCCTCTGGGGATCCAGAATGGACTGGTGGCCTCCAGGTGTCCAAGAGCCTTCTCTTGAAAGAGCATCGTGAGAGGGAGCGTTGTGCTGGGTTGATGAGTGTCCCCCAAATCGACTTCCACTCAGAAGCCCAAAATATGACCTTGTTTGGAGACAGGGTCTTTGCAGACATAACTAGTTAAGATGGAGCCATGCTGCATTAGGCCGGGCCCCTGTGTCCAGGGCCTTCCCCATGAGGTGGCCACCAGGGGGCCAACCTCAGGGACACAAGGACTGGAGGGTGGGGGTCTTTGGAGAGGCATGGGGCCCCCTCTGTGAGTGGACATTCATCAAGAATGAAGGGAGACCCCAACGGGGATGGAGCAGCCCAAGACGTGAGGGTCCTGCCCTGGGACAAAGGTGCCCTGAGCTCAAGCCAGGATACCCAGTGCCTGCTGACCAGGCTGTGCTTCCCCCACAGCCTCTCCACACCCTCGCAGTATATTCTATAAGATGAGGTCCCCTCCATTACTCTGGGCCAGGGATCTCAAATGCAAGGCCGCCAACTGGAGTCCACAGTTTCCCATGGCACCCATTAGGACACTTGCCAGAGAGGGGGTGGGCGAGCTGGTTTCCATGGAGACAGGCTCAGGATGCCCAGAGACCACCAGTCCTTTCTTTGTCTGACCTGAAGCAAGAGCAAAGCCAGGGGCTCACAGGCCGACAGTGTCTGCCTCTGTCTTAAGGGCTTAGACTGAGACTGGCGGAGGCCCTCCAGGTCACTCCCGTTGTTTCACAGATGAGGAAACCGAGGCCCACGGGTAGGGGGTCTTCTGACAAGTCACAGAATTGATCAAGGGGAGAGCTGGACGCCTGCCACACCGTGGCTCTGCCGTCTCCCGTGGAAACCCGGGCCCCCGTTAGAGCCTGAAGTGGCCTCTCGGCACCAGGCTGCTGGGAGACCTGCGGTCACCAATGGCAACATCACTCTTGCAACAGCCAGTGGGGTGTGGGGTAGCAGATGGGAGCTCAAGTACGGCCTGGGTTCCAAGACAGAAAGAGACAAAGCGAGGGGTCGTGTGGGTGCCTGGCCTTGCAGGCAGACATTCTGTACCCGGGTAGTGTGTTGTAATTCTTCCTGTACTAAATTATAGTTCCTCGGGCGGTTTTTTGTTCTTGATAATCATGCAACCATGGTACAGAAATATTGGTCCACTCTCATCTTTTCCAGAATTCAGTTCGGGCGTGAGATGGGCCTGGGTGGAGGGCACAGAGTATGGTCGGTGCAGGCGGACCCTGGGTAGACACCTGTGCAGGGAGAGCCCGCTCCCCCAGCTCAGTCTCCCCCCTGTGTAACGAGGAAGTGGACTGGACACGGCTCACGGTTCTTCCATGCCCAGCATTTCCGCTTTCAGCATCACGGGAGCTAGAGCTGGCTCCGTAAGCAGGCTCCAAGGTGCACCACAAAGCCCGGGCATCTTTCCCTCTTTGCAGCATTCTGGCTGTTCCTCAGCTGACTTTCCACACCCAGTATTTTCTCTTCCATGGGTTCAGTTTCTAAATCACATGACTGTGTTTTCTTTTAATTCAGAAAAGCATGATAAGGCACAGAAGCCCATGCCTCTCTGCAGAGACCTGTCGATTTTCTGAAAGTAAGTCATCCATGCCACTGTGAAGAAAGCACAGAGGACTCAGAAAGGCCAAAAACAAAACTAAATCCACCCCTCGGCCCCTGCCCCCTCTCCCAGAGGAGCCGAGTCATCAGCACATGCAGCAGAGTTGGTCAGCAGCTCAAGTTCACATCCCCCACCCACCACATACACCACCTGTATGCCTGGGCAGGTTCTCCCAGTACCTCAGTGTCTTCATCTGCCAAGCGAGCAGGATGGGAATGGCTGCCTCCTGGGGATCAGGCTCGCTTAGTTAGCTGCATTCAGGGACCTGGAAGAGACTCACCAGGCGGTAGCCCCCGTCTACGTGTTCCATGCTGTGGTGAGCAGTGACTGCATTTTCTTTTCCAAAGAATCTACACCATCTTATTTTATTTTATTTTTTTTTTAGACAGGGTCTCCCTCTGTCACCCAGGCTGGAGTGCAGTGGCATGATCTCAGCTCACTGCAGATCATGGCATGAACCTTCGCCTCCTGGGTTCAAGCGATTCTCCCGCCTCCGCCTCCTGAGTCGCTGGGATTACAGGCACGCGCCACCATGCCCGGCTAATTTTTGTATTTTTAGTAAAGACAGGGTTTCATCATATTGGTCAGGCTGGTCTGGAACTCCCAACCTCAGGTGATCTGACAAACCTCAGCCTCCCAAAGTGCTGAGATTACAGGCGTGAGCTACCACGCAGCCTATACCATCTATTTTTTTAACCCCCAAATGAATCATACTTTGGGTTCAGCCTCTTGCGTTCTTTGCCGTGTTTATTTTAGAGACCTGTCCATCTCAATCCTTACAGACAAACGCTGCTCTTTCTTAGGTGCCACCAAGCATAGACACAGACCTCCCACCCCCAGTGCCCCATCTTTCGCCATTAACCAACAGTGCTGGGATGGTAGCAGGACACCGGGAGTCAGATACCTCGAAGCTCTGGTTCTGGCCACACTGCTTATGCATATTGTACTCGACTGATTCACACTCCCATGGCCCTGGATGAGTGTCCCTGGCCATCCCGCAGGCTGGGTGGTGGTGGCCTGTTCTTCTCATTGCTATTACCCCGGGTCTCTGTGGGTCCACCAGCCAGAGTTCTGATGCCCGGCGTGCTCGTAGGAGCCTGGCGTGGGTACAGCTTTGTGAGGCAGTGCAGGCCTTGAGGCCATAGTGGTGCAGCAGAGAGGTGGGGATGAGGAGGAGCCACCAGGGCCCAGGGCAGCTCCTGTACACCCAGGGAGAGCTGAAGTCCACAGCCAGCTCCTCGAACCTTGTCAGGCCTGCCCTGCACTCAGCTCCCAGATTTTATAGAAGGAAGTCCCTGCCTTTAGGCCCAATCAAAAAAATTGGACTGGGATGTTAACAACCAACTTTTCCTGGTGCTTTCCTGAGTCAACCTCTGCAGCCTGGGACTGGCTCAGACGCCTGCCCTAGGGTCCTTTGGGGCGGCGCGTGGAGTCAGGGCCATCTGTGATCTCCTCAGCAGGTTTGGTCCTGACCCTGGAGAGCCGGTCGACTTGTGAAAACAGCCTGATGCCATTCTGAGCCAAGCCCAGTGAGGAGGTTGATGGGACCAACCCAGGTCACCCATCAAGTGACCACAGAGCAATGACACTCATCTGCCCCATACCATCACTCGCTTAGAGAAAGTTCCAGAAGAGTGGCTCCAAGCATATGTCCCATGATAAAGAGGCAGCCTCTGCGAGGGTTAATTTCAGCGTCAACTTGATGGGGTCACAGCATCCAGATATTTGACCAGACATCACTCCGGGTGTTTCTGTGAGGGGTTTGGGGACGAGACTCACATTGGAATCAGTGGGCCAGGTAAAGCAGTTTCCCCTCCCTAATATGGGTGGACCTCATCCAATCAGTGGACAGCCTGTATAGGACAAAGGGGATCCTGTACCCTGAGTAAGACAGAATTCCTCTTGCCTGCCAGCCTTTGAGCTGAATATCTAGCTTTTTCCTGTCTTTGGATTTGAACTGAAACGTCAGCTCTGTCTAAGCTCGGGCTGCTATCAAATATTTATTGGTGTGGCTTAAGCATCAAATACTTACTGCCCATCGTTCAGGAGGCTGGAAGTCCAGCATCACGGTGCTGCCAGTTTGGTTTTGGTGAGGGCCTACTTCCTGCTGGCCTTCCTGTCTCTATATCCTAAGGTGACAGAGATCAGAGAGAGAGAGCTGTCCTGTCTCTTCTTATAAGGGCACTAATTTCATTAATCAGAGCTCCACCCTCCTGACCTAATTACCTTCAAAACACCCCACCTCCTAAGACCAGCACATTGGAAGTTAGGGTTTACCATATGAATTTTGGGGGGACATATCTAGTCCCCAGCAGCCTCTTCCGGGTCTCCAGCTTGCTGACTGAAAATCTTGGGACTTATCAATTCAGTTATTCCACAAGCCAGTTCTTTACAATAAATCCCTCTTTGTGTGTGTGTGATGTGTGTGCATATGTGTGTGTGCACGCGCGCACATGTGTGTGTGCACGCGCACGCATGTGTGTGTGTACATTCTGTGGTTCTGTTTCTCTGGAGAACCTTGACTAATAACACTCTCCAAGGTGACAAGGAGACGCACAGGGAGAGAGTGAAGTTTAACACATTGGTTAAAATAGTCACAAGATTCTCATCAACCGCCACAAATGGGGTCCGGCCACAGCTACTGAACTTGGCCACGTCTGCAGCTTTGCAAATGCTGCTGGATGCACCTGGCCTGCCATCCCGCCGTCCCGCCCTGCCTCCTGCGTGGCCTTTCTAAACTGCCTTCCAAGCTCCTCCCAATCCCGTAGGGTTCACCTCATTGTGCCTCCTCTGTCTCCTCATCCGCAGCCCCTCCCAACCCGAGTTCCTAGCTCCTAGAGGTCAGAGGTCACACTTTTCCCTCTCTCTGTCTCAGTAAGTGAAAGCAGTGAGTGGCACCTGACTGGATGTGGTGGGGTTGGGGGAGAAGAGAACAAAGTGTGGATCAGCCCTGAGGAGGCTGTGCAAAGACCCAGTGCTGGGTCCAAGGCCTGACCCCAGGAACCAGGACCTTGTGCCTCAGTTTCCTAACCTGTAAAAAGGGATGTTGGAATCACGGGTGTCAAAGGTCCCTTCCAATTCTGTTATTTGTGGGTTTTCTCACGGCCGGAGCTGGAAGAGGGGAAGCAGAGAACGCCCCGGTCTCCAGGCCCTGAGCACAGTGAGCTGCCTGCCTGCACGGAGCTGCTTGACCCCACCCCCCCGACCACGTCCCCACTCCTGGGGATGGTTCCCGGCCTCCACGGCATCCCAGGGAAGGCAACAGAGATGGACTGGAGGGCATGGGAGGACACGCATTCACTGACCATCCAGCCCAGCAAAGCAAGAAACCGTCAAAAAGTAAAAATTCCATTTGTAAACAAGATCGAATTATTTGATTGTGAAACCAGGGTCCATGGAATTTAAAATAATTTAATATGAAACAATATCATTTGAAATGCTGGCCAGCCAAGGACCTGGACGGGGAGGGGGACTCTGTCCTCCTGTGCCCAGACACGTGGAAACCCAGCCTCAGAGAATAACAACAAATCATTCTACAGCAAGTGTGGCTGAGATTCAGCCACGTGGCAGCCCCAGGCCAGGCCCGGGGGCAGCCGGCGCGGACTCCTCGTCCTCTCGGAGTTTACAATCTAACTGGGCAGACCAGGGTTGGACAATTAAATAACGATGCCAGAAAGCAGGAGAGGAGTGAGTGGGTGGCACTTACGCCAAAAGGGAGGCCTGATAGAGCCAAAGGGAGTGTGCTGTGGGCCATGGGCACTGCCAGAGGAGGCTCTTGGGTGCTCTGGCACCGCAGTGAGGAGCTGGGGGCTTGGTAAGCAGGGAAAGCCAGCACTCAGAGGAGGAGCTGGCAGAAAAGGAACATTAAAATAGGAAGCGTAGGAGGCGTGACCATTTGCAACCCTAGCTTTGTCCTGTACTGCCCACGTGACCTTGGGCAAGCGTGTTATCCCAAGCCTCAGTCTTCTCATCTGCAGAATGGGAACAATCCCAGTCCCTACTTCCTGGTTGTTCTGAAGGTCGGAAATCATTCACATGCAGCCTCCTGGGAGCCCATGTCCCCGACAGACAGTAGCGCTCCAGGTGGAGCACGAGGCACCGCTGGCGCTGTGAGCAGATGCCTGTGGAGGGAGGAGAAGAGCAGGTTTCCTAGAGGCCTGGGAGGGGCCGATGCCTCTACAGTGGGCTCTATGCTCAGCTGCCTTGGAATCCCAGCAAAAGTGCCTGCCTGGAGTGATAGGAGCAGGCTCTTCGGGGACTGGGGTGTCGGGAGGGCACGTGCACGTGCCTTGCAGCTGGTGCCTCTTGGAAGGATGGGGAGGCGGGGGCCCGGCAGACCCTGGTGCACCGACACTCCACAGCCATGTCTTCTGCCTCAACATAAACACGATTGGGAATAGTTCAGGACTGTAAGAGCAAGAAAAACAAACCCAGGGAAACCAGACAAAGAGCGTGCAAATGCTAACTTTCATGTCACATCCAGAAACCACATGTTCATCAAGCCACCTGCAGGCTTGTAACTCAGTGGGGAGACACAGGGTTGTTGTGTTTAGAAAAATCAAGCTATCCTTACAGCTGCAAGGGGAAAAGTCCAGTTGCTGCCTCCCCTCCATCATCCTGGACCAGGTTCCCCCACAGAACAGCCCTTTGAGGCAGCCAGGAAGCTTCCCGTTGCTGTGGCCACCCGGGGCATGGCCCCTGAACCTTTCCGTGAACATTGAGGTTAGGGAAATGCCCTGGACCTCCAGGCTGGTGAGCGTCAGACCCAGAACCCCCATCAGGGTGCCCAGTTCCCCAGTCTCCCTGTCTCACCACCACCCCAACCTGGGCTCAACCGCCCAGCTTGAGGGCAGGCACAACTTGTCCTGGCCTCGGGGAGGGGCCAGAGAAGTAGGGAGAAGACCCCAGGGCGGCCACCCAGCCCCGCACGTGCTGCCCAACCACCTGTGGGCTTGGGGAGGGCTCCAGATCACTCCTGCCCTCAGAGACGGCGATGCTGAGAAGTGTTATTTTTATTCCTCCCCAAGCCTTGCCAGATTACATTGTCAAGGCCAGCACTTTGGAGATATTTCCTTGGTTTCGCAATTCACGCAGTGACTAACACATGTTACATTTTGAAAACTTCTCTGGGTAAAAATTTAAGCTGAATTGTAAATACATAAAAGTCTCAACATTAATGGGGTACATGATATCTCAGTGACTATTGTGTAACACCAAGAGTCGGAAAGGATGTGGAATTCCATATAGTCGGGTGAGGATGCTGTCCCAGAGCTGCCCTGTGAAAGCACCATTGTGGGCAGCAACCTTGCCTCTCTCTGCGGTTATGTAAGTTACAAACCCCTTTGCCTCCCAGCCTGGTGAGGCGTCAGGACCCTCAGGACCCACAACACCCTCAGGAGGCTGGAACGGCAGAGTTCCGCCCACGCTGATGCATCCCCTCCAGGGGGCATGTGCACACGTGCCTAGCACACCCTGCCAGGGGCTTCATGCGTATGATCCCCTTGGCACCCTGAGGCGTTGGGCTACAGGTGACAAAACTGAGGCACACGCATGTTAAGAGACTTGCCTAAAGACATCCCCTGATAGAGGTGAGCAGGACTCAATCCCAGGCATGATGGCCACATGGAATGCTCACTGCTATGCTCATCACCCCCTCGGCCCCTGGTGCTGGGCAGCCATGAGCCATGCTGTGCCGTGTCGTGCATGCTGCATGGCACAGGGCGGCCCCCACCAGGACAGGCGATGCATGGGTGGTCACCTGGGATCACTGTCAGAGCATCTGGACTATGAAATGAAGGCGATGGGCCACTTGGCAATAGGGCACCTCAGTGTCCCTATGCATGCCAGAGCTACAGGAGCACCTGGGCATGGGTGTGGGAAGGAGGCAGAGAGAGAAGGAAGGAAGCAGAGAAGCCAAGAGTGGTCGGGGAGTGGCTGTGTCAGGAGCCGGCCCCCCTACTGCCCAGGCTCCTGCTCCACTGAGTGTCCACAGCCCCACCCAACAGCAGCCCTACCAGCCCTCCTGAGCCGCCACCTGCCTCTTCATTGCTTTGCTGGATGACACCTACCAGCCTCTACTTAGCCAGTTTCCTGTCTGATTTCCCCGTTCAACATTGATCTCCACGCAGGACTGTAGACTCCATGGAGGCAGCATGCTGTCTGCTGGGCTCCTGGCCGCGTCACCAGAGCGTGGCCCCAGGCCTAGGTATAGCAAGCATTGAGTAGTTATTTTTTTGAATGTATGCACCTCCGAAAGAAAGAGGGAGCCACCGTCCTCGCCTCGCTGCTCTGGCTCACTCGAGTGGCTCTACCACCTAAGATGCGTGCTGGGTTTCTCCTGCTCCTTCTGGGACCTCAGACAGGCAGTGCAGGGGAGGGGCAGGCAGGGCAGCTCCCTCCTCAGCAGCGCTCACCTTGGGCCACTCAGAGGCCAGGAAATGGCAGTGCAACTCGAGACTTTTATGATACCATCAACTCCCTGGTGAATATTGATTTTTCTTCAAAGCTCAGGGCCTATCTGTCTGGGCTCCTCCCAGCCCCACCCCCAGCCCCAGAGCTGCCTGGCGAGCCTGGAGACTCCAGCACCAAGGCTTCATGCTCCCGAATGCCGCAGGTCCCCCCTACTCCGCCCTGGTCAGGGCCCTCCTCACCGACATCCTGGTAACTTAGACATTGCAAGCCACAGCTGCTGCAGTGTACCAGAAAACGTTCCTCCAAAGACACAGGATTTATGAAGGACTGTTCCCTGCTGTGGCAGGAGGGGTAATCACACAGGTTGGGAAGCATCTCACGTGCTCCTTTATTGGCTGTGCTGGGAGATACTGAAGTGGGCAAATGCCGTCCATCTGAGCTCTCAGGACATGTGGGGGATAAAGGGGAGTTGAAGCTGACCAGGAGGCTCTCACAGGTCAGTGTGATAAGCACAAAAATAAAAGTATGTCCAGGGCACCAGGAGGGCAGGATCCGCTCGAAGTGGGGTCGGCAGAGGCTTCCCAAAGAAAGGAAGCTTCCCCCATCTCTTGCAATTTTCGTGTGGCGTCTCCAGAGCGCCTGTTCTGTTAGAACGAACTGAGGCCTTAATGGGATTACTCAGCTTTCAGTAATAACAAGTTTGTCTAGGTCATGTAGGGAGGTACTTTAAAGTCATTCTTCCTTCTTTTTTTATTACAGCAATGACTTACAATGCTTGAAAAGACATTTTCCTTAATTCAATTACCAAGTGAGCTAAATGCATTTGCTGGAGATAATTAAGAATCTTTATAAATATAAAACAATTATCCCATCAAAATACAGTGCTGGATGTTATTATTCATGCTGGCTTTTCAATCAGAACCCCCTCCCCCTTTTAAAGCAATTCCAAAGCCCCCTGCGCCTGCCTTTGCCCAGGCCATTTGTCCTGCCAGCTCTCCAGCACCACGGAAGGGCGCCGTGTCTGCCCAACCCCTGGCCCGGAGCCACCAGAACTCTCTTCACTCACCTCTCTGGTCCTAGTCTTGGCCCCGAGCAGGTATCAAAAACAACGTGACACAGACCAGAGGAGCCGGGGGAGACGTGACAACTAAATGCAATGAGGTCCCCTGGCATGGGTCCTGGAACAGAGAGAGGACATTAATGGGAAAACTAGCGAAATCCAAATAAAGTCTGGAGTTGAGTTAACAATGGCCCAATGTCAGCTTCTGAGTGCTGGCAAATGTACCACAGTAATGTGCACAGTTCACAAAGGGAAGACCGGGTGGGGGGCGAATGGGAACTCTCTGTACTATCTTTGTAACTTTTCTATAAATCTAAAATTGTTCCAAAATAAAAAGTTTGTAAAAACAAAACAAAACAACAAATGGGACTGAGTGGGCAAAAGAGAAGGCAGAGTGTCCCCATTGCTGGAGTGAGTATTCCCGGTCTTCAGAAACCCGCATGGCCCCACACCCCACTGCTCACCTCCAGTTGCAGCCCCGTCTCGGTTCCCTGTACAGACGAGTCCCACGAACCAGCTGCCCGTGGTTGCTGCCTCCACTTCAATACCATCTTTCCCCATGCCATTTGTCTTGAGCCACAAAGTGAAGGTGAGGTGTCAAAGTGGGCACCTGCAGGACGGCACCCTGGATGTTTGGCCTAAGAAAACTCCCCCGTCCTCCTTAGAGAAGCCACCACGTTGCATACCAGGGAGTGAGGCTGAGGCTGTGCTGCTGTCAGTGTTCTCCAAGGCCACTAACTGGACCTCTGGACAACCTGCTCTTCACAGGGACACCTCGGTCCCTCCTGTCCTGGCCACAGGCCACAGCCTCCCTCAGACAGGCTGGAATGAAGGAACACACTGAACCTGGTCTGCAAACCCTGACAGGGGCTTGTACTGGGCAGCAGTGCTGACGTGGGGCGGGCTGAGTACAGCACAGGCGTAACTTCCATCCCCCAGGTCTGGGTACAGACACAGGCATGACTTCCATACCCCAAGGCTGTGAAGAGGAAACGCTGTCCAGGGCACCTCATCTGATGGTGCTTGCGATGATTGTGCAGGACATCAGAGGAGCCAGAAGCACCCGCACCCCTGCGGTTATTTACCTCATCGTCGCCATGCCTTTGAGGAGCTTTCCTGGGCCTTCCGAGCGCCTGAGCTTGGGAAGTAACCAGTGGCTCTATGAGATTTCCCCAGAGGGCACTGCGATTTTCATGGGCCTCTCCCACCATAAAAATACCTGTATTTAAAAACATATTTAAGGAATACAAATCCTTCTACCATAAAGACAGGCACATGTCCTTGCAGCACTATGCAACAATAGCAAAGACATGGAATCAACATTGATGCGCATCAGTGGTGGACTGGATAAAGAAAATGTGGTACCTATACACCATGCAATACGACGCAGCCATGAAACAGAACGACATCACGTCCTTGGCAGCAACACGGATGGAGGTGGAGGCCGTTATCCTATGCAAATTAATGCAGGAACAGAAAATCAAATACTGCATGTTCTCACTTATAAGTGTGACCTAAACATTGAGCACACATGGACACAAAGGAGGGAACAGGGGACCCTGGGACCTACTTGAGGGTGGAGGAGGGGAGAAACTGAGGATGGAAAAACTACCTCTCAGGTATTATTCGGATGACCTGGGTGACAAAATTATCTGTACACCAAACCCCAGCAACATGCAATTTACCCATGTAACAAACCTGCACATGTACCTTTGCACCTAAAATAAAAGCTGGGGGAGAAATGGTAGTGAATGTCCCTAAGTATGAAAAAAAATAAATAAAATTTAAAAATAAAAACAATTTAATAAACCTTCAAATGCTTCCACATTTTTTTTCTGGTTTAAGCAAAGTTAGAGAGATGTTCTTGGACCCCTAAAGGTATCAGGTCGAGACAGATATCCTTGCCCTGGGCCCCCAGAGCTTAATGGACAGGCTGGTCCAGGCCACACTTACCAGTTAAGTGACCTGGGGCGAGTTACTTAACCACCTCATCTTCAATCCCTCATCTGCAAAACAGGGATAATGACACCTGCTCGGCAGGGCTTTTATGAGGATTGCTTAAGCTAATGGGTGTAAAAGCATTAATTCCAGCCTGGCCCCCAGGAGGCGATCAATAAAGCAGCACTACTCTTGCGAAATATCCTAGCCATCAGAGCAGGCAACATGTTTCTGTCTTCTAAAACGATCCCAAGAGAGCCTCCGCTTTACTCTACAAATACGACCTCTTGATTTTATTCTGCAAGCTTAAATGTCTGTGGTTCTCTCATTACCTGAAACTCTAAGTCCTTAAATAGTGTCTGAGGCCCCTAAACGTTCCTCTAAGTGCTGTGTACAGCCATCACTTACTGGCTGAGACACACTCCGCTGGCTTTCCCATCGACAGATGCCTCGGTGGCCCTTTCTGGATCATCTAATCCCTGCTCCGGGCCACTGGCTCCAGTTCCCTCATTGTAATAAGCACAGGGGAGGGTGTTTATGAAGGAAAGGGAGTTTGACTGAAGTCCAGGCTGAACTCGGAATTTCCCTGTTTGCTTTCTCTTCCTCCCCAGGCGTGCTGATGGACCAGACCTGCGGGAGCTAACTCGACAGGCCTCCAGCTGCCAGAGATTTGAGATGTTAGTCAGGGCGCTGGGGCGGGGGGCTCCGGGAGTGGGGAACGGGGAGCTGGAGCCCTGAAAAGACCTCAGCGTCTCCTTGTCAGGACTGAACTTCCACCTTGGGTCCTTGCTGAGTCTTATTTTGCTAATGAGATCAGACAGGCTTGTAATTTTAGGTAACTGCAATTGCTAAGACTGGAAGAGAGACTCATTCTCTGGCATTCCCACAAATTCTTCCCAGTTTGTTTAGCTTAGGAAATTAGGCAAGAGCAGGTAGAAAAACGGCAGGTCAAACACAAGCCATTGCAAGAAACTGACTCATGCTTTACCAACAGCGTTATTCATCCTCCCGTTCCTCTCCCTGGCTATGTATTTATTCGTTTATTCAGCAAACATTGATTGAGCATCTAACATGTGTCTCCGCCTTTTCACACCCCCAGGCCCTTGCCCAGGCTCCATCCTCCGCCATGTCCTCCCATTGACCCACTGTCTGTCCTTCTGGCCCAGGTCAAAGGCTACCTCCTCTGGGAAGCCTGCCCCAAAGTTCCATGCCAGACCCCATCCTTCCCCTCTCTGTAGGAAGGAGACTACCATGGCTCCCAAGAGGAGAGCTTGGCTGAGAAGCACGGCTCCAGGACATCCCTGATGTGTGGTTCGGGCAAGGCACTGAAGCTTTCTGCTTTCTTTCCTCCTCTATAAAGTGTGAATACAAATACCTCCCAAAACTAAGTGCCCAGGGTGCTGTATAAAGCACACTAAACATCACTTGCCACATGCAACCGAGCTTACAAGAAAGGAAAGGAGTTCCCCAGAGATCAAAGGCAGGGGAAAGCCAAGAGTGAGAGTGTTAAGTCATTGCTGGCATGAAGCCATCTCAGGCGTCAAGCAGTCCCAGTAGCGTTCAGTGGCCATCCAGGGGCAGAAAGAAGGTGGGACGGCAGAAGTGCCATCCTTGCACCAAACCAGAACCTCAGAGGTTCTAACGCCAGGGAAGGGGCAACTTGAGAAAATGCACCTGCTGCAAGTGGAGACTTCTGCTGCTTACCCATATTAAATGCTCTTCTTCCTCCAGGCGACAGAGGAACACAGTCTCTGACCCCAGCAATTAGCCTGGGCTTGGGACCAGCTCTGGCCAAAGGGCTCTGAGAGGAAGAGATGTGACTCGCTCCTAGACTACAGCCATTGACACCACCAGACTCGGCAATGCCATCTCTCTCCTGTGGCACGTGTGGAGGCCGAGCCTGAGAATGGTAACCTGGACCCACGCTGCTCCAGTGGAGGCATTTCCCTGGAGAGGTACTCAGGTCCCCAGCAAACTTTGCAGGAGCCGTAAAAGCAAGAAATAAAGCCTCTGTTGGGTTTAGCCAGTAAGAGGGCGCCTTCGTTACTCAACAGAACTTAGGCTATATGACATCACATGTTCTCACTCACATGTGAGAGCTAAAAAAAGTGGATTTCATGGAGAGTGGAATGGTGGTTACTAGAGCTGGGAAGGGCAGGAGGGAGGGAGAGAAGTTGGCCAATGGCTACAAAATACAGTTAGATGGACGGAGTAAGTTCTAGTATTCAATAGTCTAGTGTGGAGACTATAGCTAACAAGTTATTGTACATTTCAAGATAGCTAGAAAAGAAGAACTGGAATGTTCCCAACACAAAGAAAAGATCAATATTTGAGGTGAAGGATGTTCCAATTACTCTGATTTGATCATTACACATTGTATACAGGTATCCAAATATCACAGGTACTCCCAAAGTATGCACAGCTACTACATATCAACTTTTAATATTACACCTGAAAGCAATTTCAAGAGAGGCTTCATTGAGAAGGTAAAATTTGCGAGGGGAATTGAAGGAGAGGAAGGAGTTGATGAGACCAAGACGTGGGAGAGTGTCTCTCAGGAAGAGAAGCAGCCAGGGCATCCCGGCCATTTGTGTACCTTCATTTACGAAGTGTCTGTCCAAACCTTTTGGCCAACTCTTTAATTGTGGCATGCATTATATTATTGGGTTGTAAGAATTTTAAATATATTCTGGATATAACTCTTTATCAGATGTATGTATTGCAAATATTTTCTCCCTGTCTGTGACTTGTCTTTTCATTTTCTTAACAGGTCTTTTCAAATGCAGACATTGTTTATTTAGATCATGTCCATTTTTGCCTGTTTTAACTTTTATGCTGGTGGGATTGCTGTTCTCTGTTAAGAAACCTTTGTCTTCCTCAAGGTAACAAAGTGTCTAGAAGTTTTACGGTTTTGACTTTGTTTAGGCCTGTGGTCCATCTTAAGTTAATTTTTCTGTATTGTCTAAGGTAGGGTTGAAGTTTATATCTTTATGGATGAATAGCTAATTATTCCAGCACCATTTGTTTTAAAGTCTTCCCTTTTCCCAATAATTTAGCTTGGCCCTTCTTTCAAAAGTCAATTGAAAATACATACATCATATAAAGACTTATTATACTATATGTATTTTTCCAGACTCTTTATTCTGTTCCATTGAGCTGTTCTTACACTACCATACTACCTTAATTATTATAGTTTTATAATGGGTTTTGAAATTGAATACTGTAAGTCCCCCTCACTTTTTTTTAATTGCTTTGACTGTTCTATGCTCACTATATTTCTATATAAATTTTACGATCAACTTGTCCATTTCTACAAAAAAGACAGATGTAACTTTAGTTGAGATTAAGTTGAATCTATAGATCACTGAGGACTGACTAGACATTTAACAATATTGAGACTTCAGATTCATGAACTTGGTGTATCTCTTCACTTATTTATACCTTCTTTCGTTTCCCTCAGCAATATTTTGTAGTTTTTAGTGTACATGTCTTGCACATATTTGTGAGATTTATCTCTAGACATTTCATACCTTTTATGCTATTGTAAGGAGTATCGTTTTTAAAGATCTTTCTATTTGGAGGTAATGTTAAAATATCGGAAGACTCACATCAATAGTACAGAGACTCCCTGTGTATTCTTCACCCAGCTTGCCTTCATGCTAACATTCTACATAATCACAATCTAATCACAAAAACTAAGAAATTAACATTGGTACAATACTATTAACTCAACTACAGACTTTATCTGGATTCTACCAGTTTTCCACTCGTGTTATTTTTCACTTCCAGGATCCCATCCAGGATCCTACATTGTATTTAGTTGGCGTGTCTCTGTCGTCTTCTACATCTGTGACAGTTCTTCAGTATTCCTCTCTTTCCTGACTTGAAGATGTTTTCATGGCTTGATGCTCTGTCAGATATTTTGTAGAGCGTTTCTCAATTGGGTTTGATTTGATATTTTCTTTTTTTTTTTTTTTTGAGACAGAGTCTCGCTCTGTCGCCCAGGCTGGAGTG